ATAAAATTCTTTCAAAAAAACAATTATCATATCTTTTATAAAAAAATTCATAAAAAAATAATAAGACTAATAAGAAAAATAGTTTATACAACAATATACATATTTTGGACTATTTTATCATATAAAATTATTTGATAGGAAAAAAAGATGAGAGAGAGAGGTAGAGCGAGAGAATGGGATTCAGGCACTGGACACAGGGCACGGCATCGATGGTCAGCACTGGGTAATGAGAAGACCAGAGTCCAAGAGAGAGGTTGACGGAGGAAGGAAGTGGATACAAGGCAACTTAGCTGGAACGGGGAACGGAAAGAGCACAGAGAGTGGGGGTTTGACAGAGGGTAGTGGAAAGGAGGCAACGGAGTAAGTACAGGCAGTGGGGGTATGACAGAGGCCAATATAAACAAGCTACAACCTTCTTTTTCACAAATATGCCAGAGGACTGGAGCTACACAGAAATGTGGAGAACATTTGGCAAGTTTGGAAGGGTATTTGATATTTATAGCCCACAGAGGAGAAGCAAGAACGGTAGGAGGTTCGGTTTTGTCAGGTTCCTTAATGTAAGGAATACCAGTGAGCTTGAAAAACAGCTTGATCAAATAAAGGTTGAGGGGCATAAATTATGGTAAATCTAGCCAAATACCCAGAGGGGAAAGATAAAGGGGTGATAGTAAGGAGAATCATCCCATCCAAAGGAATTGTGCATGGGAAGTCATATGCAGATGCTCTGAGAGGACATCAAGGTCGGGGAGTCGGGCAAAGCGAAGAGAAGAAACTTGAGAGCCCATTGAAGTATGAAGATGGAAAAAGCAGAGCCCAGGAAAAGCAGAAGCTACAGAAGAGCGGACTAGTATGGAAACAGAAAAATAGAGGCGAGGAGTGGTCGGGATTGGAGTTTAAGGTGAAAAATGAAGAGTTTCAGTGGTTGCAAGGAAGCTTTGTGGGTGTTGCTCACTCAGTGGAGATTGTACCTAATCTACAAGAGAAGTTCTATATGGAAGGGTATTTCTCTTGTAGATTAAGAGCTATGGGGGGAAAGCTGGTCCTTTTGGATGGTGAGGACAAAGATGAAATTAAGGATTTGGTGGAGGGAGCCCTAGAGTGGCTTGGTCAGTGGTTTTCAGAGGTAAAACCGTGGTCTCCCTCAATGGCAGCAAGAGAAAGATTCGTTTGGATAAGGTGCCAGGGAGCTCCTTTGCATGCTTGGGGCCCAGAATTCTTTGAAGAATTGGCATTAGTTTGGGGGAAATGTATTTTCTTGGATGATAGTACAAGCAAAAAGAAAAGGTTTGATGTAGCAAGATTTTTAATATCAACATCAATAATGGACACAATCTCTGTTCACCGGAAAGTTAAAGTTAATAGGGAGATATATGTGTTAAGTTTACAGAGGAGGAAATGACAAACAGCCTCTTCTCATTGAAGTATGATTTTAGGCCGACTTTCAATAGTGACTCAGAGCTGGATGAGTCTTGGTCGGATGCCTTGAATTTTTCAGCAGGCTTCGATGGAGATAGCGGGGGAGAAGAAAACGGAGATAACGCCGGAGTGAAGACTTCAGGTAGAGGAACAATTCTGAGCAAGGAGAGAGGATGCAGGTTGGCTGTCACTTCAAACTCAGAAGCAAAATTTGAATTTGAAGGAAAGAGTAATGATGAGGACTGGTCTAAAAGGAAGGTTAAGCTCTCACATAGCAGAATAGGTGAGGAAGAGTCCGTTGATGTGGTAGCAGATAGCTTAGAAATGGATTTGGAAGAGGATGACGCAGGGGAGAGAGGAGATATTGAAATAGGTGTGTTAGGATATAAGGGGAAGGCTGTCTCAAATTCAAACCCTGTAGCAAGGTTGGGTAGTTATGGGCCGGCCTCACACCCCAACTGGGATCCATTAGTTGGATTCGGAACTAAAGGAAGTTGGGCCGGTGAAGGAGATTCAATAGAAAATTGGGCCGATGAAAGATTGTATGTCAATCCACAAAGGGGAGTGATATGAGGCCCGTCGGGGGAAGTAAAAAGAAGACCTCATGGGAAAATCCAGAAAATCAAGTCATGAATATTCTGGAGAATTGCAGCTCCTGTAGCAACGAGAAGGGAAGTATAGAAGGGAGCAGGGAAGAGGAGACGAGCACAGCACAGAAAAAGGAGGAAAAAAAGAGAAAGAAAAGGAGCAAATCGTGCACGGCTGTGTACCAAAAGTCAATCCTCCTTGGCTTCATGAAGCAGAAGAAGAAAAGCAGGGGCAGATGCGGCGCGAGGCAATCAGAGGAAGAAGTTTCGGTGTTCCTGCCAAACACAAGCAACTCAATAGCGGGTGGTTCAATAGTAGATAGCTGTATTCAGAATTGCAATAGGCTGCTAAAGGAACCTCCCACCAAGAGGATTGCTTCTGATATATGGGAGTGTGCGAAGAAGATAGGGGCAGTGGCAGAGGAAGAAGAATCGGTCATCAAGAAACTAAAGGAGTTGGAGAATAGAGATAAAACAGCAAAGGAGAAAGAGAGCTTAATGGGCCGGAGCAAGGAACAGAAGGTGGGTGCTGTGATTAAATGAATATACTGTCATATAATGTTAGGGGATTGGGGGCTGCGGGGAAGAAGAGAAGTGTTAGAGATTTAGTGAAGAGAGAGGGTGTGGACTTCCTAGTAATTCAGGAAACCAAGAAGAGTGGAATAGATAGAAAGTTTTGTAGTTTTCTGTGGGGGTCAAAGGAGTTTGATTGGGTGGTGAAGGATTCAGTAGGATTGTCGGGAGACATGGTCTGTGTGTGGAATTCTAAAGCACTCAGAATGTTGAAAGTTTGGGAGGGTGGGAACTTTATTGGGATACAGGGGAGGTGGGTTGCAGAGGATATCTGTGTTAATATCATTAATATTTACTCTCCATGTCACTTAGCGGGTAAAAGAAGCTTGTGGGGGGAATTAAAAAATTTAGTTCTGCAGACAAGAGGGCTATCGTGTCTTGTGGGAGACTTTAACACAGTTAAGAATGTAGAGGAGAAAGTAGGAAGCAAAGCAGTAACTATTGAGATGAGGGAATTTAATAATTTCATAATGGAATCAGAACTGTTTGATACACCATTAGTGGGTAGAAACTTCACATGGTATTAACCTAGTGGTAAGTTGATGAGTAGAATTGACAGGTTCTTACCGTCTGAAGAGTGGTTGAATAAGTGGGGGGAGGCATCTCAGTGGGGACTAAACAAAACTATATCCGACCATTGTCCAATCTTTCTTAGACACCAGAAAGTGAACTGGGGGCCCAAACCATTCAGATTTTTTGATTTTTGGCTAGAGCAAGAAGGATGTCAAGAGGTGATAAGAGAAGCATGGAGAAAAGGAAATACTCATTGGTGGGCCGGATTTCGCCTCAAAGAAAAACTCAAGAACACCAAAGAGGCGTTGAAGATATGGAGCAGGAACCTGGTCCCAGAAATAGATAGGAGAATGAGAGAAGCTATGTCAGAGATATTGCAACTGGATGTGAAAGGTGAAATGGTTCAGCTGTCTGAGGAAGAGATAGAGAGAAGGAAACAGGCATTCTTGATTTTGTGGGACAACATGAGATACAAAGAGAGTATGCTGCAGCAGAAATCCAGGAAAACTTGGCTAGCAAAGGGAGATGCAAATACGAAATTTTTCCATAATTGTGTGAAAGGGAGATGGAAAAGGAGTGAAATGAATAGTATTCAAGTACAAGGTGACCAAATTACAGAGGTTGGAAAAATGAAAGAAGAAATTGCCTCCTTTTTTGAGGATACATTCACGGAGGAGCAGTGGAGGAGACCATCTGTAGAAGGACTCCAATTCAAACAAATTGCACCAGCAGATAATGATTATCTCATTGCCCCTTCTTCCGAAGAAGAAATCAAGACAGCGGTGTGGGATTGTGAAAGCTCCAAAGCACTGGGTCCGGATGGCTTCAATTTTAAATTCATCAAGAGTGAATGGGAGACAATCAAAGGCGATGTTACTCAATTTCTTTATGAGTTCAGAGGAATGGCAAAATAGTGAAGGGTCTAAATACGTCATTCATAGTTCTCGTGCCAAAAGTTGAGAATCCACAGAAAATAGAAGAGTATAGACCAATTTCACTGATAGGGGGTATTTACAAAATCCTTGCTAAGTTACTTGCGAACAGGCTTAAGAAGGTGCTAACGGGATTAGTTGGTGAACAGCAAATGGCATTTCTAAGCGGTCGGCAATTAATGGATGGGGTTGTAATAGCAAGTGAGGTCATTGATGAAGTAAAAAAGAAGAGGAAGGAAGCATTTTTGTTTAAGATTGACTTTGAGAAAGCCTACGACAAGGTTAGCTGGTTATTTCTTGATTTTATGCTGCAAAAGATGGGTTTTTCAAATACTTGGAGGAAATGGATTATGGAATGCCTAAGATCAAGTATGGTGTCGGTTTTGGTCAATGGCAGCCCTACCAGACAATTCTCTATGTCCAGAGGTCTTCGGCAAGGGGATCCACTATCCCCATTCTTATTTTTGATTGTCGCAGAAGGGCTTAATGGGTTGATTTTGAAGGCTGTTGAGAAGGGTTTACTTGAAGGAGTAGAAGTGGGTGATAAAGGCTTCAAGATCACACATCTCCAATATGCAGATGACACTCTGCTGTTCGGCACAGCTTCTAAGGAAAATGTATGGGCTATGAAGAGCATCTTAAGGACATTCGAGCTGGTATCGGGGCTAAAGATAAACTTTAACAAAAGTCAGCTAATTGGCATTGGTGTAAAGGAAGAGTGGTTAGAAAAAATGGCATGGATTTTGTGTTGCAAAAAAGGGTACTTGCCTTTTAAGTATTTGGGGATTCCCATTGGGGGGAGGAGTGGGAAGCTCTCGTTCTGGAAACCAGTGCTGGAAAGCATGACCAGAAAATTATCCACATGGAAAGGGAGATTCTTATCTCTAGGAGGAAGGATCACTCTCATTAACTCAGTGCTGTCCAGTCTACCTGTGTTTTGGATGTCAGTGTACTTGATCCCAAAAGGTACAATTCTTTTTCTTGATAAAATCAGAAGGAGATTTTTATGGGGAGGAGTTGAGGGAGGAAAGAAAATAAATTGGGTGAGATGGGACAAGGTTTGTAGGGACAAAGAGCAAGGGGGGTTAGGTGTGAAGGATTTAAGGAAGTTTAATCTAGCTTTGCTAGGGAAGTGGTGGGGGAGATTGGTCAACAAGGAGGATGGATTATGGAAAGAAGTAATTTTGCAGAAATATGGTAGGGTCGAGGAACCTAGATTTAATTGGTTGAGGGAGGGTTATGGTTTCGGGTCTAGATGGTGGAGGGATATCTGTAGGTTGAATTTCATTGACCAGGAGAATGTGGGGTGGTTAGCTAAGGGGCTGAATATTAATATAGGAGAAGGGGATAGTGTAAAATTCTGGTGGGATGATTGGTGTGGGAGAGGAATATTGGCTAACAAATATCCAAGACTCTACCTAATATCTGTAGGTAAAGACAATACAGTTTCACAGATGGGTCGGTGGCTCAATGGCAGCTGGATATGGGGACTGCAGTGGAGGAGAAGGTTATATAGCTGGGAAGCTCAGGAAGAGACAGAGGTATTGAAGGAAATCCAGGGAACAACAATCACGAAAGGAAAAACTGATGTGTGGATGTGGTTACATAGTAACAGGGGGTATATACAACAAGATCATCGTACAAGGCTCTAACATTGGAGCTTGAGAGGGAACAACCAGGAGAGACCCTTCAAAAAGTTTGGAATGCAATGGTGCCAAGTAAGGTTTCAGCATTTTCATGGCAACTTCTTTAGGACAAAATCCCTACAAAGGCAAATCTTTTCAAAAGAGCTATAATTCAAAACATGGAGGACTGCAAATGTCAACTCTGTGGGCATCATTTGGAGCAGACCAGTCATTTATTCACGCACTGCAAAGTGGCATATGATCTGTGGAATGCCTGCTTCAGGTGGTGGGGAATTAGAACAGCACTGGACAGAGATGGGTGTAAGGTATTCCAGCAGCATCCTTCGGCTCTCAAAGTGGCAGGAATAAAAGAGGGCTGGAGATGCATCTGGTTTGTTGTTGTGTGGTCATTGTGGTTGGCAAGAAATGACAGCATATTTAACGGAAAAGAAGCGGACAAATGCAGGTTGCTTGAACTGGTTCAACTAAGGTCCTTCAGCTGGTTGAAATGCAAAAAGAAAGGATGTCTTTTCTCAGTGTCCGACTGGATCCAGAACCCGGTAACCTGCTTAAGAGGGGCTGCGGACAAAAATGGCAAAACAGGGGGATTAAAGCAACGGAGTAGTTAGGAAGGGGCGCTCAATTAAATTCGTATGCAATTTGGGGGAATTAGTTGCTGAATAATCACATATATCCCTGTAAAAGGTTTAGAGTACACCCAGTACTCCTATAATGGAAATTTTCTTTGCTTTAAAAAAAAATACATATTTTGGACTAAGATGAAAAAAGATATATAAAATAAAAACATCATATTATATCTAGATACAGTACGAAATAAGAAAC